TCAGTGACGCGAGTAGTGTAAGACTTAGCGGATGGTGTAAAGGCGAGACGGAAGTGTACACTGTCGGAACGTCCGTCGTGGAAAGGACGTCGACTTACGGACACGACTGAACCAGTGACACGCTAATGGTAAAACAGGCCAAAGGATGAAATGTAAGAGACTACCACTCGCCCAACAGTGGAAATATTATTTTATTACTCACTCCAGAAAATGCACACGAGTTCACTTTTTTTTCACTTTTTTAATACAGCGGATTCTTTCAACCACGACTATACAATGACTTAAAGTTCCTAAAATGTATTCAAAATATTTTTATTTATACTGAAATAATGTGGTTTTTCTTTCATATTTTATACAATGAATAAATAGTTAATTTATTTTTTAGAATGTTATTTTATTTAAATATTGACGTTTATATATCAAGAAAATTGACTATACAGTTCTAGTTTACATGTTAAACGTCATTATATTATGGAACAGCTAGTAGTAGTACGTACTTTAAGACAATAAATAAATTGTATTTTTTATTCATTGAGCATTTATTTACATTGACACAACAATAGTAATAATATTTTAGTTTATTGGTCATTAAGAAAAATAATTTAAAAAGGGTTTTACCTAAAATGTAGTTTCCCGCTAGTAACGAGAAGTGGCCACTTATTTTGTTTAGTCTTACAATAATATATGTACACAGACTTTCTGAAGATACAATTTTACAAGTATCTAAAACTTCGGTACGACTATCGGTTGTTGTATTTGGCCATAAAAAAAGGTTAATGTTCGTTTCAGCTTTCTGAATAGCAAAATGTGCTGGCATTTTCGTTCTACAAAGGAAAACATGTGCAAAATACTAAATACCTTATAAATTCTTTTTAAATCGTGTATTTCACCCTTAGCAAAATGATCGACGGTAGTCTATCACACGCTTTTATTTATAACAATATTTTTATTTACTTGAATTTAACATTTTGTTCATAATTAGTAAATACCTTAAAACATCGTATTGCTATTAATAAACCTGAATATGCATTTATATTTAAAACAACCACGAGTTCTTAAACAGACTTTATACCTTAATTATGATATTTAAATAAGGTTCAAATTAATTTTTATAAAGTAATAAACAACAATAATAATAGCGTATTAACTTTTTACTATTTTAGTAACGTTATAAAATGTTTAACTTAACGGTTTTTTTTTATGATCACCAGTATGAATTTAGTTCATAAAATAAATAAATGTATCGGTTAACTGTAAATTGGCCTTTCCGCTTCACTATTTCTTTATTATATCATTATTTGTATGCCATGATGACTTACGGCAAGTATGTAATAAAAATTAGGGAAATAATTCAAAATTTAATTTTTATAAAAACTACGATACAATTAAAAGAATTCTGGCAATAAATAAAAATAAAATTGGCACAAAAATGAAACTAAGTAAAAATCTATAAATTATAAAAATACGTGTAGCATCATTTTTAGTTTAAGGAAAATGTGGTCATCACAATTTCGTGATTTTAAAGCATTCTATTAAATCAGAAGAGCACGGGTTTGATAATAATGTTATTTGTGTGTATTTTATGTAGTTGTTTAAACACCCTTGAAAAATGGTTATTGTCTAGAAAAAACAATATCAGAAATAAGTAAATAAACAACAAGTGATGGGAATTTAATAGAAGGTAGTTTGTATATAACTCGATCTGCGTCTAATCGTCCGGTAACAAAGTGGAGATAACAATAATGATAAGATATAGCAACAAAGGATAAATGCCACGAGGGAATTGATTTCCATCAGCGTTCTCAGAAAAGCACACACTTACAGTTGAGTAGGTTCCTGTGATATTACTATTTAAACGTTGTGCAATAAGCTTACTTTATATATTATAAAATTGTTTACCTAAGTATAATAATTGAAGATTTTAAAGGTATTTTTAGAGTGGATTCTGAAAAATTACCTTATTTTGTGCCACCCTATTCATAAATTTACTTTGATTGTTATAAGGATGAAATCGAGAAACAATAAATAAAAAAGGAAATATTTGTAATGTTGAATGGCGATAAATATTTATTATGGTTTATTTAATTTTTATATAAAATATTAATTATCATCAATTAGTTGTAAAATTAGTAAACTCTTACACTCATAATACACTTCAATGGTTCTTCCGTTGAAATGAATACTTATATATATTAACATATTTGAACTGAAATAATTAACTAACTCATTAAAAAAAAACTCAGTGCATATTAATTTCCATTATATTCCGCGTTGTCAGTGCCGTGCTAACTGTCATTGGCGCCTTACTGCAATCATATTTTGGGCGCTTCTATTTAATATGTTTTTAAATAAAATACATCTTTTGCACAAATTGTGTACTCATATTTTTTTAAAAATGTGTGACGCATGCCCCCGTTGCCCATTCCCCCTTGGCACGGCCAAGTGCTCTTAAAGTTATGAAATTAAAACGATTTTCAATGAGATTCGGTCAAAGTGTGGCGTTGATAAGGCAACAGAGCAGCGTTAAAAAAAATTTAATGTTTTAAGTTTTGAAATTCCTACTTGAGTGCTTAACCTTTTGTAGTTTTAATAATAATAACCACCACATAAACGCAAAACTGTGCGAGAGAGATCACTTTTCAAGGAAAATGTCCCTAACAATAAGGTAATAAAAGTTTTATTGCGGAAGAAGGTTTCAAACGATGTTCTTGTCCGGGAAAACTAATCGCCACCAAATCGTTTACGATAACAACAATAACAATCTTATAGTTCCTCGTTTAAAGTTTTGACGCGCCAATTGCGTTTGTCTAGCAGAGGAAAACAACTCAAGTGGTCACACGTGATAAAAATATTTTCATCGACTTTATTTCGCAGAAAAGTTCAATCATCTTTTTCTGAGCGCAATGTTAATTTTATAATTTATAATAACGAATTCTCTCTTCAACACTATGCCTTGTTAGAATGTAATTAACACGACACGAAATAATTAAGCATATCTGAAGTGCGTTTCAAAAACTATTGCAATTTAACTTGGCGCAACATTTAATTCTATCAAAAGATAGTTTATAAAATAACTCATGTTTAAGTGGCCAGTGTAAAGGTCACTAAATACATACTTTCGTATGACATTGTTATTTTATTCGTCAGCATAATGGTACTTTTTAAAACTATACGAGGTATATTATTTTTACACTGGTATAAAAATATCACCAGACAAAAAGGCAAAAATATTTTCTATTATTATTATGTCACAGATTTTTTCTTTTGAATTTTTCACTCTACTTTTAATGCTGTCATTTTACTACATATTTACGATAAAGCAAAAACAACCTTTAACAAATTCCATGAAAATTGACTGCTTGTTAATATGTCAAAATACTTTTTATACAAAAATAATTCCGTGACCTCTGTATTAGAAATTCAACTCTACAGAAAGCATGTCACTAGACCATATGATACGCTCCTTTTTTTTTTTAGTAAATTACTTTTTGTCATGTAGGTTTTTAAAACTGCGCAGGATAACCACGTTATTTATAACATATGACTGATTCGTAGGTACCGTTTTACATTTAATTACAATTAAATTATCTTATGAACCACGCGCTATAAAAATAAAAAGCTGAATACAATGCATTTTTAACTACTTTGAGTCAGCAGATTGATTAAGAATTACATTTTTCGTAGGTATACAACAATATACTTCTATTTGTAAATTAAAATTATAATTGTTCAACTATTGAGTTAAATTGTAATAATATATAATTTATGTACATTTTATAATACACAAATAGTAATTGAATTAGTTTCTATTAAACGTATAAGCTTCGAGTTCTTGTTCATCAGAGTTGGGCATTAAACGGCTTATGTAAGTTTAATTCTGAAATATACATTTGAAATCAACGATTTCTAATCATTATTATTAGTGTACCATTACTCGAAACACATTATGATCGCTTCATAAAGTTTTGAAAAATAGAGGTAGTCATAAAAATGTTTAAAGTTAACGCTCAGTGTTTACTTCAGGTTTGCATTTACAAATGACCACTACACTGCACAGAACACAATTGTACGGTTACAGCCTTTAAAAATTTTATTCAACAACAATACACTTGAAACTTTAGTGTTATTGCATATTTTATTCTTTATTACTTCAGCGTATCACCTGTTTAGATAAACAGCAGCTCTCACATTCTGATAGTTCGAAAAATTACATGACTATTTTTTCATTATATGTAATATATAGAGCTTTTTTTTAATATCTAGGCAATTTAATGTTTGTAATTGCTGTTTTTTCCTTTGCTCGTAAAATGTACATTTTTTAATTCGAATATAAAAGCTAGCGAAAAAATCAATAACACTTCACTTGTTAAATTGTTATTGCTATTTTTATAGAATTATATTAAATTAGGTACCTAGTTTGGACTTCTGTGAAGTAGTATTTTTTTATTGCACTGTATCACGTTTATTTTCATCACATCAAACCAATAGTAGCACTCATGACTATTTTATCAAGTGCCTTTAGCTTTATCAATCTATGACAATCGAGTAATGAATAATATAGTATTATCTGTATATTGCATGTTTTAAAACCTGAATATTAAAGATTATGAAAATAATATCATGAGCTCTTGTATTTAATAGCTATGTATTATTTAAAAGTAATTCAGTACAATCTATCTGAATTATTTAAAAATGAGAAGATGCCGGTTTGATTTAGTAGAAAATTGAACTTTCTATTGTGATATATTTTTAAAACAATTGTCTTCTATTTTAATTGTATTAAGTTACTTTTAAACAGTTGGACTAAATTAATACGCTCATTAGACAAAATTAAAAATTAGAGATAATTTCAGTAACTCTAACTTTTGGGAAGAACAACTGTTTTGCTCTCACAAACAAAAATGGAAATAATTTTAAGTGAATTTTTACTAAAATAATTAAAATATTATAGTATATTATAATTAAAACAATTAAAATTATTACTATAAAAGTCTTATTTATTAGTTTGGTGTAATAGACTTAAGGAGTTTCAGTCTTTTTTCCAAACGAATTTTAATAATTACTTTTCTACTGATTTTCACAAATTTGTCATATGCCTGAAATTTCCTCCACCAATTTCCATCTGTCATTGGATTGAACTCAAAATGACAAATTTCCTATAAAAAGTGGGTTATAAAATTTAAATAAATTACNAGGAGTTTCAGTCTTTTTTCCAAACGAATTTTAATAATTACTTTTCTACTGATTTTCACAAACTTGTCATATGCCTGAAATTTCCTCCACCAATTTCCATCTATCATTGGATTGAACTCAAAATGACAAATTTCCTATAAAAAGTGGGTTATAAAATTTAAATAAATTATTTAATGAAATAAAATCTAATTAAAATTACTATATGATTCATTCGAACACTTCGCTCTTTTAATTTGATCGGCTCTTGGTTTTTAAAACAGTTATCCATATGGCTGTTTAATTTTTTCTAATTTAATTGAAAAAAAAAATAAAAGAATTAATTCGAATGACATTTTATGCACAATTAATTAACCAATATTTTTTCATTCCAGTCATCATAGTGTTGCGGTGGAGATTCTGTGATAAATTGTTGCTGTGTATTTTTTATTGATTTGTCACCAAAATATTTAGCAGAACACATAAATTTATCTAGTTGTTCTAAGTATTCATCCCGATATAGACTTTCAGACTCACTAAAACAGTCTGCAATGCGACATTTAATTACTGACTCATAAATAATAGTGAGAATATCAAAGACCAAAATATACAATTTATAGTTTTTTACTGTCCTATAGATAAATATTTTTTGACTAATTTAAAATAATCGTAGTAAATTTATAATATAAATAAAAATATAACATAACGATAATCATTAAGAAGCTTATAAAATAAAAATAATTGACTAATAAAAAATAATATTTTTTTATTGTTACATTACTATAATTCAATTATAGTGAGTATTATTTCGATTAATCTTAAATAAACGAACTCAAAACTGTTTGAGTAGAAAAAAAAGGCAATTATTAATATTTGCTGTTATAAGATTATACTTTGTGTCAAACGGTAAAAAAAAATAATACTAAATTTTAATTTACAAATTAAATTTAGCAAACCAATATTTTTAATAAATCAATATTATTCTCATATAACTAAAGTTTTTTAGAACTTGAATTGCATGAATAATGTAATTTCCCCACAAATGATGTTTCTACTATATAAGGATGTTAGAAATATATGTATAACCTGATAAATATTTCAAATTAATAAAATAATTACTCACTAAGCCATTCATAATCTTGTGTAGGATTTATTTTTTCCTTTAACATTTTGTTGATAGTTAATCTGTTAATGGATTGGATTTTCTTAGATTTTATTTTAAGTGGTGTATAATAATTTTCGTTACAATATTTTTGCGTTTTTAGAGGGCTTTTGTAATTTATTTTCTCAACAACCTCACTAAAAATTATTTTTTACTACATAATAATGCTATTTCAATATTCTTGGATAAGTGTTTTTTCGAAAATCATCTAATAGCTGATAAATACAGTTTTGTAGAATAAAAATTTAGTAATGCATACATTCAAATTTATGTGCATCGATAAATAGATTAGTGAGTGTGAATCTAAAGAAACGTTTACAAGCATTCTCGTTTTAGTTTTCTAATTTCACGAATAAAAGTATTCCTATACAGTTATTTCAATGTAAAATTTTATTTTATACGTTGATATGACATAAACTCGACATCTCGAGCGCTTTTGGCTCCTGCTTTTTCTTAAATACGTCGACTCTATATTTAAATAAATAACTCAACGTCCTTATTGTATGTCAAAATTCATAATTTTAATATTTTCGTAGAACCTTTTTATCGCATTGCATCATTAAACAGTATCAAAAACAGTTATTACTTTACCAACGGGTTGGTTTTGTCACGGCATTAATTGTGATTTTGTGATGAGTAGCAAACATATCCGAAAAATAGAGTATGAGATCAGCAGATAGAGTAACATATGAACAAGCTGTATATGTCACAGTGATTACAATTGGAATATTTTGTTCCACTTCACCTATAAATATTATTGCTTTGAATATTTCACTTGTCAAACGAACCTGTCACAACTAACCACTAGTTGGTTCTATAATCAACCCTTCTTTTTGAACAGGAACCAATGTACGAAATCGGTATTTTTTTATTCGAGGATACAATACTAACTTTTTGGAAACTCTACACAAACATTTCATGTAATATTTATAACAAACTATAAAACTATTATTTACGTCATTCCTATATGTACATTTCCATAATCAATGACGTTGGGTAAATGAAAGTTTAATTCAGGCACCGCACATACTTCCAATGCCATATTCCCATTACCTGTAGGATTTTTCAATTTTAAGAAGTCTTTATACTCAGTTATTGAATCTGACACAAATTTTATTGTAAGAAGCTTCGAACAGTTTGGAAGTATTGATACCTTTAATTCAGTTTACTTTAATAAAATAGCAGTAAACAAATAACAATGATCTTTGAAAATCATATTAAACACTTTAATTATTAAATTATCCATTAAAGTTTATCAATTTTAATTTAATGTAATTAATTTGAAGTATTATTATTAAGTATATTGATGTTATGATTATTTTTTTTCAATTTGTTCAATCAAAAGCTCAAAGTACTATTCGCTTTAATTGGAAATGTATTTTTATACAAATCCTTCTAATAAATTGAGAGTAATTTATTTAACAAACCATATAAAACCATAATAGAACTTTATATTTAATGTATTTTTTATTGCAAGACTGTTTTTAAAATACGTTTTTGATGTATACGTAATTTAGTATTCACAGGAACTTTAAAAGTAATTGAATACAGAACATAGATTGACAGTTGAAAATTTGTTTGGAATAATAGATTTAAACATACAATAGGTGGTTAATTAATAATTGGCGAATATAAAGTATCTTTTCAATAACGTATACGCATATATTATAGTAAACAATTGCAAAAACAAAAAACAAAATAAAATTGTAAGTGAAATATTGCTAAAAAATGTAATAAAATAATGTCGTAGATTTCAATATAAAGTCAATAGTACTATGTACTAGACAAATAAAAGTTAAAGAATAGTTAATTAGTGTCGCATAATCCAATAAATCAATCCTATTAACTCAATAATTAGCTTCCTGATTGGAGCAATAAAACGTTTTTTAACGTTTTTTTTCGGCACCTGTCACTCAACACCCTCCCCCTAAAAAATACAAAAATAACATTAGAATACGACCAACATAGATTCCTCCAGCTCAAAACCAAGAATCTCTTCCAACAATTGAATTTACTCGGATTTATATACTAATAACCTACTACCTATGACCTATTACCTAGTTAACAGTTCAATATTTCACGACGATAATGAAAAATGCATATTAGACTAAAATCTTTATAATTGTTACTTAGTATTATTCATTATTTTTACATCTATGTTTTGTTTAATCTTACTACCATATTACAAATTGTTTACCATATAAGCAATTTTTAATTAAAACTAATTAGTTTTCAGTTGTTACCACATCTTATACATAAATAATTACTATAGTAATGGTTAAATGCAATAAATTAACAGAAGAATTTAATATGCTGTATGTGAGTTTCATAAATGATAATAGAATATAATTCTGTAAACTACTCACAGTAGTTTCATCTGGAAGTTTAAACATCTTATTGGACATAGGTTGTATTTGAATGACTTGAGGTTTAGAAGTTTTATTAATCAATTTTATTTTTATCCTTTGTAATTTCCCAACTTTAAACTTAGCAATGAGGTCATCCTTGTTCACCGATATTGAACCATTTGTATTTGTAATTGGATACTCTGTTTATATGATTTAAATTATGTTATAAAAATAACATTTTAATGGTATGATAAAATGTTCCCCTTTTTTACTCAAATAATTACCATTGTCCACAAAAAATTCCAAATTAGTTTGAGCGATTTTATTACAGTCCATCTTTCTAAAAATATTTGTTTTTTATGTAACCATAGCAATACAGAAACTCGATATCTATCTTAATTGAATTTTATTTAAAAAAAATTAGATATACTAAAAAAAATGTTATCGTAATCATAATATTCTAAAGTAATGATATGTAAGATGGTTTACTATCCATATTTTTCCCAGAAGGCTGGTACTGAAAAATGTTGTGCAGATAGGTGACGACGAGCATAGTCTTTTGTGTTTTTGGCATAGCACAAACATTCTAAGGGTATTGACGTTGTTAATACTTCAATCAAAAATAATTTATATTTCTTTCGTTGGACTTGTTAGAAATGTCTTTTTCTTGTGGCTCTTTCGAAATGAGTCGTATAATAACGACTAGAAAAATCGTGAAATGTGATAGTTTATAATTAGATACGAGTAGTCGGTACGGTAAAACCTCCCGGCAGCTACATAGAATATATTCAACCCTTCCTGATATGATTTTCGCTTATGCAAAATACTGAATACTACCATATAAGACAAAGACATAGTTCACCTGACGTTTATTTGCCTGCTTATATAAGTATTTAAACTGAATGTCTTGATAATATGATAAAAATTAATTTATTGGAGCACATTGTACTGGAATGTGTCTGGATTTTATTGTCAACTGAAGTGGAAGTTGACTAAGAAAAGAATAGCAAGATATTCCAACGATTCTCAAGTAAAATTAACAATATTCTCGTGTGAATTAAACACAACTAATTATACGCATTTCGAAAGCTTATACTCTGTGAACTATGAAGCGATTAAGATATCTGTCTTCGTTTTATTCTCATGCGCTTTGAACAGATTGAATAACGAATTCTGTTAAATCCCATTTCTGACTTTGCAACGAGTAAGATAAGAAACTCATAGTATGGGTTATTAAGGAATTGTGTAACATTTCAGCTTTAACGTTAATGTAAATAATAAGTTAAGTATTCGAAAAGTGCCATATGAACTTTAATTTGTTTGATGCGATTACAATAACAAAGGAATACGTCAACTTAATGAATCATCAATATAATAAAACACGAAACTGTCATTTTTAATAATTCTACATAACATACAAATCAGAATTTTAGTTCTATTCTATTGAAATCGAATATTATTTTCATTATGTACAGTAACAGTATTTTATCTGTCTTTTCTTTGTTACTTCATTTCCATTAAATAATTCTAAGGTATAGTTCTAAAGTTGTGTGAAAAATCAAAACTATCAAATTTAAACAATTATAAAAATATTTTGTCAAATAAAACTCATAAATATCACATAAATTGTATTTTTCTTGCGTCATAAATGTTTTCATTTGATTATTTTCACAAATCAAAAACTAAAAAGAAAACAAAAATGTACAAAATTGAAAATATCCATTCTATGAAGTATAAAAGACAGTACTCTATTATTATTTTAACAAGCAACTGTCAATACGCACAACATTCAATTTGTAAATAGACACAATATGGAAGGAGATGTGTGTCAGTAAAATATGTCATACAATTCTGCGTGTGTATGTCAAGAAAGTCATTATATTAATTCTTGAAAGTATTGTGTTTTATACCTTGTACATTTAAAGTAAAGAGTAACTGAGCGACTACAGAGAAAAAAGATACGACCGGTAAAAGCTCATGCGCGACGGTTTCAGCCATACGGTCTCACATACAAATGAAACCCAACTTACCGGTTAGTATCGCGTTTGCCGTCGTGGATGCAGTTTATTGTCGTCGGCTCAGTGAGTGAGGTCATTTTCGAGTGTTTCGTAATTTATGTAAAAACAGTTTGTGCATTAAAAAAATTTGGGAAAATGGATTGAAACTCATAAGAGGTTGATGTCAATTATTAATTCATAGAAAAATAAAAATATAAGAGAAATAAAGTGGGGTAATTACAAATGCATTTTTTTAGATAAATGCACAACCATTTATTTCGAACTTTCTTTGATATGATAGCAACGCATACAAGGACCAGAACTTTTAAAATGAAATCTGCTAAATGTTTTAGGAGAAAAAATTAATGAATCACGAATTTTTTTTTTTTTTTTTGTGAAAATATACTATACACATTATTTGAGTGTTTGAATTGTTTAATAAATTTAAATATTTAATATATTTAATGCGATTTGGGAATGATACAACTATTACCATTTTTACAAAATTATACAATCAAATAACGTCATTTATAATTATTGAAATCAAAGTAAGTTTTTTTTTAATTTCACGCTATAAATCATAATGTACAAAACTTGATAATGAATAACGACAATCCAAAAGTTTTTGGTTTTTAAAAATTTTTTGAACTTTTTTTTGTTTATGATTTTAAATTAAACGAAACATTTAAACTTTTAGACCTACACATTTGGGAGGTTTTAAATTATAGAAAAAATATTTCAGGTTTCTTTGTTGACTTCTAATAGATGTTCATATTACGCATTTCTTAACTTGTGAATATGTCACCAACAATTTATAAATAGTATCAATAATATTTTTATTTTTTATATAGTACATTTTAAAAATTATAATAATATTATTAAATTTTTTTTTTTAACAAAATCTGTAGAGAAATTATTCTTTGTTGCCTTTTTGTAAAGTACGGGATTTATTTATCTGTCTAATTCATGATAAATGTAAAATTACACAATAAAGTTTTTAAATTAAAACTTAATAAAAATAACAATAACCCTTAGGTATATATGCAAGCTTATGATTATCCTTTACAGATTACACAGTACGTCGATTATTATTTTACCCGTCAAACTTTGACAACACAACGAATGGTCCTTCATAATGATTACACACTAATTTTCATATGGAACGTTCATGCTAATAAACTTGACGAATAAATCATATCTGATTAGTATGATATACTACCCGTTAACGTTGAAACGTTTGTATTTCCGTGACCCGGACCATGTTTTAAAATAAATTAAGTATGAATTAATGAACAAATATGCATAATGTTGAATATTTCTTGGAAATTATTTACCTAAAAGTGGTTTTTTTATTGATAAACAGAAACTATATTCTTTAAAACTTCAACTTCATGGGGTAAAATTTAATAGTGATAATCAAATATAGTTCCACTTTTAACGTTCAAGTATTATGAGGGTATGCTATTTTCTGTATGAGGTTTCCAGGTAGTCGTGATGACTAATAGGTCACTCTACTATTAAGACTACTTTTATGATTTTTTTGTTTTACAAAAATATAATCGCTAAATTTTAGTAAATTTCTAAAAATGAATTTTTTCTATGCTCGTTATTTTTTATTTTATTGCATGTAATAATTTCACATCTACATATTACTTAGCTCGGTGAAGTCAGAATACCACTTACACTTTATACCTAAGTGAAAACTGTAACAAGTCAATATAATTACTTTNAATCAAATATAGTTCCACTTTTAACGTTCAAGTATTATGAGGGTATGCTATTTTCTGTATGAGGTTTCCAGGTAGTCGTGATGGCTAATAGGTCACTCTACTATTAAGACTACTTGAGATGATTTTTTTGTTTTACAAAAATATAATCGCTAAATTTTAATGAATTTCTAAAAACGAATTTTTTCTATGCTCGTTATTTTTTAATTTATTGCATGTAATAATTTCACATCTACATATTACTTAGCTCGGTGAAGTCAAAATACCACTTACACTTTATACTTAAGTGAAAATTGTAAGAAGTCAATATAAAGTAATAAAACAAATATTAGTGCGCAATGACTTATATTAAGTTTAAATATTACATTATTAAAATTTATTTTAAAATGCGTATTTTAAATTAAAATACCTTTTATAAATTAGTTCGACTGAGGTAATTTTTATTTAAAAACTTTCAACCCCCTTGTGAGTATCACAATTCAAGACTTATCGTCAAAACATATTTTAACTTACTTAACCAATGAGAAATTTGTGGAACAAAAGGTCGTTGGGGATTCAAAAAACTATGAGCTATTAGACACTAGAGATTTGCTTCAAATGAAAGTTGTGAAATTTGTAATCGATAGCATGGCTATATGTTATGGATGAGCTTTGATATTGATGCATTGTTACCACATTTGTTTTACATGAATAATGTCGCATCATCATGAATATAATCCAGTAATTTATTCGAAAAAAATTGAAATACACGCACAAGAATTATTGATTTATAGTTTGAAGTAATGAATAAAATGGTTAAAACTCGTATTAAAAATAGCATAAAAAATATCCCAGTATGATAATATTGGTAATATTTACCAGCGGAAATATTCATACTCTTATTTTTTTACACCTATGCTGAATAGCCTTAAATTTTAATCACATGCTAAGTACTTAAGTAAGTAAATGTATTGTACACAACTTACTTATATTTTTTAAAAGTCACTTTAAAATATTTCCTTAAGAACAAAATTCTTAAAACTTAATACTTAAGCGTGTTTTTTTAAGTAATAAAAAGTATGAACATATTTTTACTCGTGATAAAATAGCTTTATGATAAATAATTCATACTACTCAAGCAAAATAATCTAGATGAATTGAAATATTAATTCATTATACATGATATATAAAGTTGTTACTGTCAAGGTAAACTAAAGGAGAAATAAAATGGTGGCCCAATCTTTAAAAGAACTTAATCAAATATTATTTTGTTGAAAAAATCAAACTATATTACATTAAGTATTATTTTTTTTCATGACTTGTTTTTAAAAAATCGATAACCTATTACCATTTTCACTTGATATACGTATGAAATTTTTCTTTGAGTTAAAACTTAAAAGCATTGTAATGGCTCGTGGCACGTTTGAGATGAAAACTGACATCAAAATCAGATACAATAGATTTTATCTCTAAGCGTTTTTATTTCCATAATATACAAAACAAATATAATGTGTTACTTATATGAAATGCAGATTTTTTTAGGTATACAGAATGATCAATATTGGGTAAGACATTATTAGGGTCTAAATTATTGTAGAGAAAAACTCTACAATATTACGTATTAAAATTTTTGTTTTTAACCCTTCAAAAGATAAAAACCTTATCATTAATTTTCTATAATTGAAACCTCTATTTTTAACTTTATAATATGATAGACAAAAAATTTTTGTTCTCATAATTTTTTTATTTGATCAATCGTTCATCTGTTATACCTTTTTTAAGAATAGTAATTTGAGACAAATTTTCTAATGATATTTCATTGTAAAGTCTTCAATTTTCCGTTTTGTTGCATGAACTAGTTTTTAATGACTAAGTTAATATCTTATCTTAAGTTAATAATCACATTCTCTAATGTTCAACACATGTTTACCATTGTTTATTGTCGATGACCGTCATAAAATTTTTCTATTAATAACTACCATAAAAAGTAATTTAAGAACAGATTATCGATGTCTCTGGTAATAAAAAAAATCAGATTAATAATAAAAATTTATTTAAATTTCAAATTTTAAACAAAAATAAATTACAGACATAATTGAATAAAAAATATTGTGGAAACAAAATTGTTTTTTGTTATTTTTGTCTATCATATTATCAAGTTACAAATAAAACTTCCTATTTAAAAAAATTCTTTGACTACATAATGTTTTTCTTTAAAAAAATTAAAAATCTTCAATAGATTTTGATAAAATCAATGTCTCACCAGATTTATATCATTATCAATACGAATAATTCGTTTTAGATTTCATCACCAGAGTGACAGTTACTAGTCTAGAGTTGGAGCTATACTAACGAATTGGCTTGTTTTCTACTTGTTCTTATCATTTTTGTTGTAAGTCTTCTTCCTTTTATCACATGTATACAGTGTGCTTTATTATGAATTCTATCCCCGATTTTTTCGTTCGAAGTTAAATAGGAATTAATTTTACTTTCAAAAGTTACCCCTTAAAATCTACCCTTAGAATCAATTTATTTTATAATCAACTTGATATTTACTATGGTTCATAAAAGTAAATAAACTTTAATCAATAATTTTTTATGAAAAAATCATTATATTACGAAAAAAAGGGGAGTTATGTTGTTAATAAATCACAGTCTATGAGTTTATAACATACAGTTTTCAGTTTAAATAATAATTATACTTTCTTAAATTTATTTATCATTATATAAATATTTATTGTTTTGCGAGAATTCGGAAAAAATTTCGCTGAGTTAAAATTTGTATATATTTTTTATGTATTGAGATGTAGAAAATTGTTTTAATAAATATTCTCTCTTCTGTATTGGATGGTTTTCTATTAAATATGAATATTATATTAAGAGTTTTTATCGTGAGTTTTCTCAGTGGTTTTGAGTGAGATGAAAGAGAAGTTTGCTGATCACAATAATAACTCCTTTTGCTGTAATTGATTTGGATTTTTAGAAATTGCTACAAGAATTCATATTACCGTATTGTGTAACGTGCAATGTACGATTGGTTAGAGAACAAAGTTAAAGATATTTGGCGCAATAGTAAAACCTAATTAGTTTTGAGAAACATTAGGCCGAGAAAGTAAAGCTCTACTCTACCATTTTGAAACATCTGTTTCCTTTCATTCTTCTTTCCTTATTTTACGTCGACTTTTCTGTGAACCTAAAAGTCTATGGATAAAGAGCATTTTGTGTCTCCGTTTATTTTTACTTTGTACAAGAATTACTATTCAAAATGTTAATGAAGTCGAATTTAATAGGAGACGAGGCGTTTTTATTGCAGAATATTTGGAAGTTATCCAAATCACGACTTTACATACAAAACTACCATACTTTGAATCACTGATAAAAATTGACAATTTACTTCCAAATAAAGTCACTAAAATGAAACTTTAAATAAACACTCTCTTAGTCACTTCATTATTATATCTTTATAATATAATTCAAAATATTTTTGCTTATATCTATTCAATTAATATAAACTTAAAATGATAAAACACCAAATATTCTTTTTCACTACCACTAATAAAAACTAGAGGTAAATATAAGACAATATTAAGTGTAAAAGGTCTAATAAATTGTCCAAGATCTTTTGTACTATTGGACGTTCACATATTATATTTATTAGTTATTTAATTAATAAATATAATTATCACTATTATATTTTATAATAACAATATTTTAACAGTAAATCATAAAATTTTGGATAAATAACTGCTTATTTCATGTTTTATTTTAATTGATCAACATTATATAATGTTTATCTAAAATCTAAAATCCATTGCGTGGAACCTTTTGCATTGTTGAAACAATGAAGCAAATTAATTTAAAAGTAAATTTACAGAAAATATCTTTTAAATATTTCAACTTAATTTTAAATTAAATATAATTATAATGAAACTTTTTTAATAAAACACATTACACATGTACAAAAAAAGAGCAAATAATTATAATTTTTTCCCTTGTATTTCAAATAGTCTGAAGCTTTCAAATACTAATTTTATTACAGTTTAATCTGATAGAATTTAAAATGTTTAATTAAAAAAAAATTATTTTAAGGTTTCGTTTAAATTACAATAAAAAAGAAATTATCTTATTATTACCATTACATGCCATGATAACATATCGAACCTAACTGACTTCATTAGCAAGACCACAGAAAAAATCTAGCCGACATATTTTAAAGAGCTTAATTCCCATTTACTTAAACTTTTCCATGAACTATATGTACTATATTATAATATATATTAACTTGATTCTTTTTATTAAAAAAATCATTTTTAAATATTAAAAAAGTTGTGAATTTTTGAGTTAAATATTTTTTTTAGTTTTATATTAATATTTTTAATAAAATGTCAATTTACCATTATGTACTTGGTATCAGCCCTCCATGATTGAAATATTTTGGCTATGCCATCACTAACTATGTTACATTATTAACATTTAAAATTTATCTAGGATATCCTTTTAGCATTACAGTTAAAAAAAAAATTGTGACATAAAAATTAAATATATTTAAAGAAATTTAATTTTATAAAAAATTAGCAAATACCAAGTTAATTAGTATATTATATCATAAGTTTTGGGGGTAAAAACAGTTCCCTAAAATTTTTATAATCTATTCATACTTTTTCAAATGGAAAAATATTATTAAAAAATAAAATAAAATTTTAAACGTAATATATTAAAAATTTAGAATAATATTTTTGTTTGAATTCTAATTGGAATAAATGTTTACTAAAAATCTATTCTATTTATAGATAAATATATTCTTTATCGAAAAAAATAAAGTGACGAAGGTTAAATTAATTAATATCATGTTTATAGATGGAAAGAGATAAGACCACAAAAAAAGTTGATGATTATAGAAAAGACATTAGAATGACTGTTGTATGTGATGAGGTTATGTGAAAGTGAGAACTGTGCACATGTGAAAACTAAAAAAATTATTCCTAAACTGCTTTAAAATATGAAGGAAAAGAAGAAATTTTTTCTTCTGGTAAAATTAAGTGTTAAAGAAAGAAGCTTTGATGAAATATTTAAGTTTTAGTAAATTTATTCAAGTATAAAACTGCATTAAGGTTTGTTCTTATCGTTTAATATATAAATATATCAATAGTATAAGAGGATCTTTGTTTAGTCAAGAAGCTTATATTTCATCTGTTGAAATGGTTGGGTTAACATGGAATGTGACTCTTCTAAAGTTAAAAATTAAATGACTTTTTTTAAATTATTAAAACCTCTTATTTCTATAAAGAAATAAAAAGAAATATAATTTCTATAAGACATTAAGTATTCTTTTTTTATAATTTTAAACTTTTTAAAATAAATTTTATACTGTGATTTGAATTAAAAGTTCATAAATGGTATAAATTTTTTTTCATACACATGAAAAAATATAAAAAATATTTACCTTCTATTCAGCGATTGTATAATATTTAAATATGAAATAGTTTAATAATGTTACATTACTAGAAATTATGGGTACATTGTTCAAATAATCTTTTAAAAAAAATATTTTTACGATAGAATCAAGTTCAAAAGAGCTCTTCCTCGTTAGTTTTAGATACTTTATAAAGAATTTTAACTACTCAGCAAACATGAACTATTTCAACAAGATTAGATTATGTTGGAATTTCCTTTAGTTTTGTGAAATCGAGTTAACATAATTATTTACAATCATCATTAGGTTACAGATTTGAAGTCAAATGAACTAAACTTTTTATTAAAAATTCGTTCTGACAACTTTCTTAATTGTTTGTAAATAAAACTCAACCTAAAACTTCTTATTATGGGTCATTTATTTTCTAACCTAGTAAGAAACAAAAAATATTAATCTCATTATTTAATTTCCAAGATTATATAATTAAAAAATAAGAAATATATTTATTTTTCGTTAACTTTTATTTTTTAATTAAGTATTTTCATCATCAAACAAAAATTAATTTTTATGATTCAATAAATACTTAGTCATTAAAATAGTCTATTCTTTCGATTAATCGCCATTACACCGATTAAACAAAAATAGTTTAAAAGTCCTTCATGTAAGTATTGTATGATAATGTATATAATAATTATTTATAAAAATATAATAAGAATATTACAATGTTTTTAACGAATTATATACATCAAAAAAACCAATGCCTTTGTTTTAATACATATAATTTTGAACGAAAGTTATTATGTACTTATGAGTGGACTTATAGCTACGATAGTTACCAATTATAATTTATAAGTAAAAAAGGTCACGTTATTTTTTTAGGGTAGCCTAAACACGTATGGTAGTTTAAATATATATTTACATAATATTATTAAGTGGGTAGTGGCTACCTAATGCTAATTTGTCGAAGTTTAAAAAAAATGGAAATTTTCATCTAATTGGTCTCTATCCTTTTGTTATGTAATGATACAGTTCATTTTTCCTGGCAACACACGCGATATCCTTGCCGGTTAAGAAAATTGTTCAAGCAGCATACATGTATAACAAGAGTCACGAATTATAAAAATCCTATCTGATTTTGTATTTTTTAAACGTTGCCATAATTTTCTAATTCCAAAACGTATCTTAATATTTCCAAATTTAAGGTATTATCCTTTTCAAATTATGTGTTGGGAAAATATATAAAAATGATATCGATTGTACTAAAACGACGATATTTTACTTATTATGTGTTACTGTTTCGTGTTAAATGAATATAAATAAAATAATATTTTAAATACAGTTATATAATAAATTATCTTTAATATCAATTTCATATTACTAAAGTATAATGATCGAGTAAAAAATTGTGATATGACATGAGTATGTAATTTGGTAAAGGTTCTATAAATGTGGTTTAGTAAACTTAAGTGAACTATTGCATGTCAAAAAATAAATCACTATTGTAAAAATCAAATACACTCAGATTCTTACATAACATATACTTAATTATTTTAATTACTTGAATTAACTCGTATGTTTCACGCCATAAGTGTTCGCAGACAATTTCATGAGGGAAAATTTTTTTTGAATATTTAGTTTCGCTGTCTGCTGAACAGACTCAATGTTGAAGAGAAAGGGGTTGATCGTGATACTTGTCCAGGAAAGAGGGTTTTTTTGGAGGCTTCTCAATAGGCGCAACAAGAAGAATCTTAGCTCACTTCGCAAACGAATTAGTTACCCCCAAAAAAAAATTAAAAAATTATGTATGTTGTTAAATACATATATAAGTTTTTAGGATGGGGAAAAAATACAAGTAGCAACAACCAATATGTAATTCTAATGGGCGTCTATGAGCTTAGCCGAAAAAAATTATAAATAAAAGATTTTTTGGTAGTTTTATGTATTATTTATAAAATTTTGTGTCTCGACGAATTAAAAATTAAAAAATAAACCTACATGTCATATCTATAAAAATATATAAATCTATAAAAAAAACAATGCATTTATAATATAGCTTAATAATAATAAAATGTATTTTTAATTAAAAAAAAAATTATAATATACAACGATTATAAATATTGACCAAGCAAAAAGTCAAGGAGGGGTAACTGTTCCCTCTGCCCATCACTGCAGAAGCCTATGACTAACGCCATTTATTGAAAATATGTTGATAAAATGAAAACAATAATTGTTGAAACAAATTATAGATAACGTCTAAATAGGAGTATATTTTAAAGACACATATAATATTTAATTGTCCTTGTTATACTACAGTAAGTTCATTAAGGAATTCCTTTGTCCCTCGTTAGACCCATCTCGTAAGGGACTCAAGTAAAGGCAGATACAAGCCGATTTTATATTCTCACGATTGAACCACACCGCACATTGTCCGCTTATTTACTATTCGGACGAACATAAGACAACGTAGAATTAATGAGCCAACCTTTCGGTGGAATCGTAAAGGACAGACCGAGAAAATAGTAGACGAGGACTTCCTGGACAGAGAGAGGCATTTTGTTAAAATACCCGAAAATTGTTCAGGCGGGAAAATGTTTGGAAACTAACGTTAATCGAGATTAATGACTATGCAACATTTCTGTGCTTAGGGATATAGATTATATTGTTTTCTCACACGTAAAAAAAATAATAACAATAAAATAAAACTCGGTGACTTAGCAATACAAAAAATCTAAAAAAAATGTATTGAACATTGAACAAAAGCTTTTTTTTTTTTTTTTACAGTGGTTGGATTGAATAACAGCGGACCATCATGAGACGGAGAAAAGACAATATTAATTGAAAACGAGTGACTGGAAGGATAAATTTTCTTTTAAGGTCAGTATTTTTTATAAATATTTCGATGAAGGTAAAACCTTACAATAACTTTAATAACAACAGACTTCATGGTTTATATTTTGTATCAAAAATAATTGTATACCTCACAAGTAACATAATATTTTTCTAGTAAATAATTTGTTTCAGAAATCTTTTTAGTATTTTTAAATAAATCTTTTGTTAGATAAAAACAAACTTTATTTCAGAATCCATAAATAAAGCTTTTTAAGAAAATCTTCCATACAAAATATAGAATTATATAATAAATCATACATAAGAGAAAATACTTAATAGAAAACATAAAAAATAAACTTCAGGTGTTATATTTATCTATAAATTAAATTACTTAACTATGACGGAAATCATAAATTTTAGGAAGTATAAAATCATGATAGTTAAATTAAAAACGTATTTGTATTTCTGGGTTGAATAATATAAAAATGATTATGGTTGTATTGAAATTATTTAAATAATGAATGTAAACTTTACACTTCAAGTAAATGGAAACATGTAATTTACCTTACTTTGAACTATTAATGAAAAATTCTATGAAAACATATCATGTCTTGTGAAATAAAAACAAAATGGTACATGACACTTCATGTCACTATTAGTGTAAAATAAACTTATTTAACGTGATAATGTTTTCTTCAAAGTATAATATTCGTCTGGAAAAGAAATTATAGAAAAATAAATTATCTTGAGTAAAACACGTGTCATTGAGAATTCAAAGAGTAAACGAACGAACTGTAATCAATAGTAACAACTTGTTTTATTTTACAAAAAAAATGAAGAATTTATTTATTAAAAACACATTTTCAGAACTATGATATCTTTAGGTGTATTTTTCTATATTGTAGTTTATTTTTTATTTTTCCACTTTTTTTAAACGGAACAACTTTTGACAGGTATTTTAGATCTTTGAAAAAATATCACTTGGAAACATTGAATCCTTATTAAATAATATATTTATAAAAGCTGCTAATCAATACTAATCATAAACCTGTTGTCAAGGAAGAGTAATACAAATATTTGTATACTTCTTTATGTCATTCCGTCAATTTTAGCTATCATTAAAATCACAAATAAAACAAAATAAGCGACTATACAACTAGCCTTTTAAATTTAGTCCATCACATCCTATAAAATATAAATTAATTAATAAATTCAATTACAATAAAATTATTATTTTATGTTTACTAAAAATAATTAGCGTTTATTATTTTAATTAATAAATAATAATAATTGAATTTATCGTAAAAAAGCCCTTTAATGAAATTTTTTCAAACAATTACTATTAAATACATTAGTGTGTACCATAGAAGTGTTAGAATAGTTAGCTAGCAACGAGTATTTTTGTTAGTTATTAAATGTAAAATAGTTCATTAGTTATTAAATTTATTAAGGAACTAAAAAATGTAAATTGTTATCCACTTTTTAGGGTTAAAATAATTCTCATTAAGGTTGAATTTCTTCATCTGAAGATAATTTTAATTATCTTAAGTGTACACGTATTGCATCGAGGAGAAATATTAAAACTTCTTCTTAATGGTCAAAATTGAGTGTGAGTTTTTATTAACTCTGTAATGTTTTTGTGTTTTTAATAACAGTGCGTAGGTAGTGAATAATATCAAAAGTAAGAATGAAACACTTTTTCCTAAAGATTAAAATGATATAATATTACAAAATACAGCATTAAGAATACCATCCTAGACTTTTTATATATTTAATTCATAACATTTTACAATCACTTAATTTTTATTTTAAATACTTTTTCAGGACTTCCATAAAAATAATAGCAATGTATTTACAGCTTATTTTTATAAACATATATATCGTATCAACAGTAATTTATAAAAAGATTTTGATTACAATGAAATAATTTAAAATTTTGATCGTGTACACAAAATATTATTTCTTATATAATAAAGTATAACAAAATTATTTTTTTGGTAAATTAAGTACTATGATTGAAGTATAAATTGAATTAATTTAATAATTTTTTCATAATTCATCGAAAATAGTCTTATAATGTTATAAAAGCTCGCGATTGTTAAGTAATTGACAACAACCGTTTTCAATAACGTTTAACACTTCAAATTATTGTTTAAATTAATGCAAAAAGAGTGCAAATATTTCTTTTTTACCTTAATAGTATTAATATTTAATACCTCGTACAAAATACAAATCTTAAAAAAACATGTCTTGAAACAACTTTTATTTTTTAAATAAAAACTAATATCTTTTATAATTGATTCGAGATTTTTTTCAAATAACTAGAAAATAGATTAAAAGAAAAAAATCGCAGTTATCAAAAGTACATTAGCCAAATAATAATGAAACTTATTTTTAATCACCTAAAAGCTTAGTAACCAAGAGAACGTAGTTAATCTTAAAAAAGTTTCCGGTCACTTGTATAAATGTTATACAGTGTCAGAGTAAGGTAAAGACTACGTTTTTTTTAATACACTGTGGAATTAAACAAAAGAAAATAAATAATTATGTTTTCAATAGCAGATTTTTAAAAACCGAAATCAAAAAATTTATTAATTAAACATTGATTAATATTTTACATAAAATGCTTTTCATTAATTTGTTTTGTTTCTGTATATAATTAAACCGAAAGTAAATTTTAAATTACTAAAAGAAATACGACTACTTTAAATATATTTCAGCTCTGAAAATATTTCCAACTAAATAATGTGTAAGTGGCATATTGAAAAAAGTATTATTTACTACAAACAAATTTTTCTTCGACTCAATTTACGTCCAGTCTGTTTTTATATTTATGTCGTGACTAAAATGTTTACCTATAAAATATTTCATGTAAAAACTCATTTTAAAATATTCTTAAGTATTGTCGGACTTAATTGTAGGTCTTATTTCCAACAAAAATATAATACATACGCAGCGACTATATTACACTCAGTTTTTTTTCAATTCTCATACATTACGATTAAGTTCCCTTTATAATATTTTACACGCAAGTAAAAATTGAACGTTGTGAAAATATTTTTTTTTTTTTTACATAATACGTATTAACGTAAGAAACTTGACTTTGACGTCATTATAATATTGAGTTTTATCGTGTATGAATTTTGTAAAATGCTAAAGTTTTGATGATTTTTTATTTTCAATCACAAGTATAAATCCCTAAGGCAATTGATAATTTTGTCATTAGATACATACATACACACATATTATATATATATATAATCACACACATACGTACAATAATATATAAGTCACACATAGAACGGTTGCTTTCTCTGATCCTCTGGATATATCTGTCATTTTACATCCATACGTGTAAAGGATTTCCCCCCTCATCCAGCTATTTTCAAGTGTTCAATTGAGAATAAATTTCACATAATGCATTATAACCCGTGCACTGTTATGAAATTAAACATTCAAATTTTCCTAAATATCAATTTTTTACTTTAGTTTATTTAAATGATTTTTATTGAAAATTGGTGAGTGTTTATTTTCATTTTTTATTAGAACGCGGTAGTATTAAATTGGAATAATATTACTACTCGTTTAATATAAAATACATTTTCAATATAATATATACTGACCACTGGATGCGCTGAAAAAATTAAAAATAAATCAACACTAATTTTGTAATTTCATAAATTTATGTTTATTTAAGTAAGCTTCGGGTACTATTTTTATTTTAACGAAAGGCAGTGAACAAACATTTCATTCAACATGCACAAGATTCTTGTATTTGTCTTCACAATAGGTATACCGATTTGTGGTAATATTATTTTTCTGGAAGAGATTTACAATGGTACTTTTATACAGTACTCTTTTTGGCCATTGTTATCGCTGACGATGTCGTGTTTCGATTCTAAACCAAGTCTATAAAGAACACTTGTAGAAATGGTCAACACAGACATAGCCAAACCCCAAAAAGTACATGGTATAGGACAGAAACAAAATCGTACAGAAAAGAGGACGACAATTGCCCCTGGAGAGCACATTTGTCATCGACGGCATATGGTTCATTCAAAGACGTACAAATACACAAAAGTACCCACAACCACAACTTACACAAACATTGGTAGTTGGTACTTCGTTTTGGATTTCTTTGAAACGCCCAAAGTATAAGCTCAGTCGTTCGATAACTTAAGTCTAAACACAAAAACGTTTGTGTCAACATCCGATGCCAAACCGGAATGCAATTCATTGTACCGCCATGTCTTAAGTGCTGTTAAATAATTTAATTAATTAGTTTCTTCAAGTCATGTTCACTTGTGCACTTCATAATTGTACTTACCAGCCGTAAAATGGAAGAAAAAATTACAAGCCTGAACTTATCTTGTAGAACTTCAGTTGTACTTAGACACAGCTATATCGATACGCGCATTAAGTTGTTGCAGTATCACATTACTACGAGTGGTTTTCCATCCATAACATTAACTTACATCTTCCATAGTGGAAAACCCATTTTCCAATAAAAACTTATAAGGATGTAGTGAGCAATATAGATAGCTTATTATTACCCTAAGGGTTAAGAACTTTTATGTTCTGGTAGATATAAAAGTTTTTAGTATAATATTAATTATTACTTTACACGCCGTTCTTTAACTAAAAAAATGTAACTACCTTAAAAAATCAATACACGTTGTAACAAACTTTTTACTATTATATCCCTACGTATCATGACATTAGAGTGTCATAATTCATTTCAAAATTTCAAAAATAAGTGAACTTTTTATCAATATGATAAAATACTCTTAATTTCCTACTGAGCTATACATAATTTTAATCATTTTAACTTAATAAACATGTTCATGTAAAATTATCTTTAACACAATAAAATGATAGCTCTACGCTTTCGAGAAGTCCCTTTTGTTAAATGATTTTCTCTTTTTCTATAGGCTAAGCGTTGTCATAGCCAGCCAACTATATTTGTCATGACGTTTCTACTAGGGAAACACAGTGTTTTCCCTTTTGTCTTCTGCACTATTGATGTTCTTAACCACTGTAAAAAC